TGCCGGCGTAAAACATTCGCAAAGATCATTATAAAGGACCGATGACAAAACAAAAGAAAATAGGGAAAATCTTTTGTTGGAATTAGAAGTTTTCAACGTGTCCCACCTTCAAAGACGACAACGCATTGAATGCGAGAGATTGTTGACAACAGTGACAAATATACCATCACAATTGCAACAGCGATATGTAGTTAATAACATTGTATTGCGGTCCGGATGGGAAAGTGTTTAATGATTCTGACTACTACGCGGAAGGTCCCGGTTTCGTATCCTGGAGAAGACATGAATGTAATTTTTCCGTCCCTTCATAGGAGGCAACGATGACCCATAAGTGCCTCCATAATAAAGAAACCATGTATTTAATATATTTTATTAATTAAACAGCAAACAATATAGAAAATGTTGAAAAATACCAAAATTTGAATAATAGTAATTTGTTTTATACTCATAAATTAAATCTAGATACTGAAGAGCTAAATAAAAAGTTGACTGAATACTATGAAATTATCCCAGATGGAATTCACCTCTGGCTGAGAAATTCTATTCCCTTTATAATCTGAAGACGTGCAAGAATTATTCTCAACAAATTGCGTTTTGGACATATTGGAAAATTCGGAAACGGAAAGAGAGAAATAGTCGATGCTTGGATTTCATTGCATTTCATTAATCGCAGCGGAAAATGTTTAAATCCTTGTTTGATTTCTTCCCTCTCGAATTACTCGAAAACCATTTACTTTTACAAAACTTTAAATGCTAATAAGTCTCTAATATTTCAGCAAGCAAAACAAGTCCATTCTTTGAACTTCATTTGTAACTTAAAAAGATAACATTAGCTTTAAAAACTGCACATCTTCATTGATTGCAGTAATAACTTAATATAATAATTTCTAAAAACAGAACTTAAATTCCTTGAGAAAAAATACAACTTACTTAGTAATCAATCGTATTACCGTCAATTCGAAGTATTTGAAATGCGCTATCTTTCCTAAACAATATACTTAATAACTCAAAGAATAAATCTGAACGTTTTTTTATCATATAAGCCTATTATGGCATTACATTCTAATACTAAATGAACATCCATTTAATCCTTTCATCCAAAGACGAAGTTTCATAAAAAAAATATTCTTTTGAGTTAAAAGGATGCCATTGAAAAGGATTATATTACTTGATATCTTATCATCCATTTTTATATACTGCAGAAGTAATCCTTTCAAGGTTTAAGGAAAATTCTTTGGTGATGCCATTTTCTTTTGAATTAAGTTTAATAATTATGTTCTTTTCCTTCGCTTTAAAGTGGAAATCGTAGTTGTTGCACCGCATTACCTCAGCTATTTATGTAACGCCACCTAGCGGAAAGAATATGACTACTTAACCCAGAAGCCGGTGGAAATTTATGAGGAGTTGAAGATATTATACTGCTGTCAAAACGATAAATCGCAGTCAGTTCCGGCACAGCGTAACAGAAAAATTCCCCTCTGTTTTTCTAGATGTAGGCTAGGGGGATGATCACCAACCACTGAATACGTAAAACAGGAACTTAATATCTAGGTAATTTATAGCGTAGTGCAATTCATGGTGAACTAGAGGAATTAATGAGTATCTAACGTAACAGCATTGACCAACATCTGGTTAATGGTATTCGCTGGTCATAAAAGTAACGTGTAGTCATTCTTATAACAAAATTGACTTCGAAACTAACTTCCGCATTCCAACCAAATGACAATCAATAATTTTATGTGTTTTGTGAGAGGCTGAGAGGTAAAATTCACGGTATTTTCTCATTAAAAAGATGATTTCACTTGATATGAGTTTTTCAGAATCAGACAAAAAAGGGAAATTAATTTTCTGCCCAAGGTATAATGGAAATTGCCTTTTTATCCATGTTTGGGTTTTTAGAAATGTCTTTTCCAATTTGGGAACCGTTATGTTACGTTACGCTACTACCGTATTTCCCCGAAAATAGGACCCGGTCTTATATTAATTTTTGCTGCAAAAGGCATGCCAGGGCTTATTCTCAGGGTATGCCTCATTTTTCATGCACAATAATTAACATTTGTTTATGCTCAGGAATTATATTTCTTCAGGTTCAAGAAATACATTTCTTCAGGTTTAAGAAAGACAAAATCTTTTATGCTAATGTAGCCATATCGTCTTCTTCTGCAACATCGTCATAAAGTTCCAAATCACGAACTCCAGTCTGAATATTTTTGAGACTTTATTCGCTCTAAGACCATTTGCCCTAACCCTGTCATGCTCAGCAGCAGAGCTCTTCTTGTTTATGTATCCTGCTTATAAGGCACTGGCAACACAGTTGTCCGTTATTTTATCCTATGCATTCCTCACCCAAGTATATTTGTAGAGACATTAGGAATTTTTTGAAAGCAGAAAAGAGGAAAATTGAGCAATACCCTGGCCGGGAATCAACCACGGACCTCTCGAATTCGGGTCGAGCGTGTTGACCAGTACACAACGAAGGCATGCTAAGAAATTGGGAGAAATACCTTGTTTTTAGGGGACGAAATTGCGAAATCCTGCGTGTGAAGAATCATCATCCATTACCCTTTTGGTTCGGGCGCCACTGTAGAAGCATTAGATATTTTTGAAGCAGAAAAGATGAAAAATGAGCAAAGCTCTGGACGGGAATCGAACCACGGACCTCTGGAACACGCGTCCAGCATGCTGACCACTACACTACGAAGGCATGCTAAGGAGACGTGAGAAATATGTTATAACCTTACCCTCTGATCAATGGTAGCTTGAGACCCTTGACCCATAAATACTAAAGTTTCATCCAAAGCAATCATGTTCGACAGTTGTCGAAGTCGATGTCATCAATGAAACACTTGAATGCAAGTGCAAGCTTAATCACTTCGGTATCCCCCAGTCTAACCATGCTCTCTGTCTTCTGAAAAAGAATTCTTATCACTGAAGGAAATTTGCCTTGGGATTTTGTGTTGTGATGCTTTAGATTTGTCTGGCGATATGTCTAGCTGTGGTTCCATTTCAAAGACAAATGATTGAATATCAACCCTGCAAGCAACCAAACCCATTACCCTTCTGTCAGCAATCCATTCACAGCTGATATGTTTCAATTCAGGAAATAATGGTTTCCTGCCTGATTCACACTTATGCTTCTTGGTATTTCTGTCGTCGACTATTTACTGGGATTATCATATTGTGATCGCCATTTTCAGACCCTTCGAAGATGTAACTTGTTTCCTTTGAAGAATGTTAGAAGATTTTTATCTCTGGAGTCTTCTACAGTTCCTTTCTTTCACTCAACGAAATAATTTTCTTTTGCATTCATTTTATCTGGGCATCAAAATTTATTATTCCTTAAATTTATTATTAAATCAAATGCTAAACCTTCGTTGGTAACGCGATATATTGGATAGTGAAGATTCTAATTTGTCTCAACCAATTCTGTATCCATCCAGTCTATTACGAACCCGTACGCAAGCAACAATATGATGAACTGAGGATTGGTCTGAAGATTGAAAAAGGTAGAAACTATATATGCCAACACTTAAATAACACAAAAGTTAAATGATGGTAATAAAGTTAAAAAGACAAAAGTAAATGCTTAGCAGGAGTTACTGCAAGAGCAGACTGGTAGACTGCGACCTCAGCGAGGGCGTGAAAACCTTAACAAACTCTTTTGGGCGATTGCTAAAATCTGAAACCTTTCATAATTTTTTTTATTAAATGCTTTGTCTCATAGATAAAAATGCAAATAATGTTAAATTTGTTTATTTCTTACTACAGACAGACAGACAAAGTAGACAGATGTCTTGTTTTGCACCCGCTAAGTCTTTCTGCACCGATGGCGAAAAATCAAGCTTAGTTGCGAAGGAAAGGTAGATAGAAAGGGGGCAATTACGGTTTCCAGAGAAAAGAACTTCGTATAACCTTACATTATATAGTTCGATGGCAATGAAGTTATAAGGTATTTTCTCCCTGCTTCCAGCATGCCTTCATGGTGTAACGGTAGCGCACTCGGCGCATATTTGAGAGTGTGCTACCGTTACACCATGAAGTTACACCATAACTTGGAGTCCCGGCGAGTAAATTGCTCATTTTTCATGTTTCCTTGCTTCAAAAATTTTAATGACTCTAGAACGTTTATAGTATTCGCGAGAAATTTCAAAAGACTTCTTCATCAGGGGTTGTAGATGCTCGTCAGTCAATCGGATTCTTTTCTTATTAATTTTCAATTGTGAAAGAAAGATGCTCACATCTTTTAATAAGATTTATATCGCACTGTAAATTAATTAATTTATAAGGTATTTCAACCTCCTTCCTAGCGTGCCTTCGTGGTGTAGTGATCAGCACACAGAGCCCGTATTTCAGAGGTCCATCGTTCAATTCCCGGTGAAGGCGATTACTCATTTTTCATCTTGCCTGCTTCCAAATAACCTAATATCTTTACAGTGGCACCCGAACTAAAAGGGTGGTGGATGATGATTTCTCCCCACCCAGGATTTGGGGATTGGGTCCTCTAAAAACCCCAATCGCCCTTTAAAAGGGGGAGTATATAAGGTATTTCTCCCACCTTCTTGGCGAGTCTTCGTGGTGTAGTGGTCTGCACGCTGAGCCGGTATTTCAGAGATCAGTGGTTCGATTCCCGGTGAAGGCGGTTGCATATTTTTCATCCTACCTGCTTCCAAAAACTCTTAATGTCTCTACAAACTCATTTATAGATTTTTGATGCGTTATTCATGTTCGAATGGTAATGAAAATGATGTAAACTCTGACTTCAATTAACTAAAACACTGCAATCTTTCCATCACCGTACTTGCAGCAAATACCTTATTGAAATGTATTCGCGAGCCGGCAGATCTCCAGTTTGAGACAACTTCCGTATATGTACTTCTAATGAGTTAACTGTTTCTCTTATCAAAATTCTAGCGAATTTTCAAATGTATTTTCATTTATTTTACGTCACGCACGTGAAATTTGTCATTTAAGTACCTAATTAATGTATTATTTTATTTCAGTGTACGTGGTGGTAGCAGATACTTATGCTCTGGTAGATTTTGTTCGCTTTATGCACGAGAAAGGATTATTAGACAGAGGAGAGTACATCGTTATCTCTTTAGAAGAAGCAGAATTTTATGACCCTACTAAAGAATACCAGTATATCAGAAGAGGTAAGATTATCGATACCTGTATATATACAGTAGATATATTGTTGGTTTATAATATGCTATCAGAGTTCACATAATTCCTTGCCGCAAAAATGTCTTCATAAACTTTAGTTATGGTAATATTTCCGTGGCATAATGATCTTGGTTTAAAATTGTGCAACATCGTAAAATTTCAAACTGAAACCTTTTATGTTAGTTGATATAAAAGGTCTGCCGGTGAAGCGGGAATATTTATTATCAGAATTATTTTTACAGATTTGAGTTGAGTAAACAGTTTACTTTTTAAAAATAACGCCGCTCAAGTGAAAGAAATTTCTATGTCAACATTCTTCTAATCTTGAGAGGAAATTTTCCATCACTCGACGAAGCAATTCAGCTTGAGTTCGTGCAATTTATTCTCCAGTATTCGTTTTTAATTTCGTGACGGTTTGCGGTCTAATGTATTTACTTATTTATTTATCACCACTGAGCAGGCTTTTGACCTAAGGTGTATACCAAACAGAACATTGCCTGCTCAGCAGGAGATCAAGATCAATCTAGCAGTCGCCACTACCACGGTAGGGCTTTACATATTTTTTTAACAAAATCAGACAGTACATACAGTAGCAGTATTTCAAAAACAAAGACGACTTGCATTCATAGGTTACATATAATTCAGAGTTATAAGTTGGTACTTAATATAATAAAAACAAAATTGCATATTTAATTTTACAAATACTTAATATAGTAAAAAAATAAAATAAAATAAATGAAGGGGAAAATGAAAATAAAAAACTAAAATAAATACAGAAAAAGTAATATAAATAAAATGAATAAATATACGCAAATAAATAAACGTAAATATAAATAAAAAATCAATAAATGAATGTATAAAAATTAAAAAAAAAAAGATTTATACAAAGATTATACAACGATTACTGAACTATTTGATGAGGACGAATGACGCTATCGTATGAGTTCTTAACTAGTTGATGATTGTGAATATCTTTCTTTACAGAATTGTAATATTTTAGTCAGTTTAGTAAGAGCTCCCTTAGTTTTTAATAGGTGTAAAGTCCATTGTTCCCAGTATTGATCAGATGGCTTAGTCAAGTAGGGTCAAGTGAAAAGGTTTCGTAAGACAACAGGAAAAGGCATAATGATCCGGAGTTACTTGCTGACCACATTCACAAGTGTCCAGTTCTGTAATACCAAATCGATGAAGATATGTTATGAAAGGTCCATGGCCTGAAAGAAAGGTTGTCAATGCAGAAGAATATGTAAGCATCTGTACAGACATGGGGACTAAAACGGAAAGTCCGTCTTCCCGTTGTTGCAATATTCTATCTGGATTGCCAGTGATTCATTAAGTGCTTATAAGTAATCCTTTTAAGATAAAAACTTGGCAAGGGCAAGGGATGTTTCGCCAAGTTCATGCCAGTTGCTGCTTGCTTGGCAAGTTCGTCCGCAATCTCATTGCCAACTATGCCCGTATGTGCCGGAACCCAGCGGTCTAATGTATGTTCGCCCTGCTCTTCAGAAATCTCCAAGCTGCGCAACCAGTATAATAGGTAATTAGCGTCGCTGACTGCCATAATGAAGAGCTCAAGTTCGAATCCCGGAGAAGGCATGGATGTTTTTAAATGTATAGTGTCACTGCGGCATGGAGGTACTCTAAATATATTGCGAGTCGAAAGTTCTCTCGAGAAGTTGATGTAGGAGTAGAGGTGGGGAAGACCCTCTGATTAATACTCCTGGGTGCTCTCCATCAAAGTTGGGGGCGGAAACGAGCTAAGTCGCACTGTCACCTGCAAGGTGCTCAAGGCTGTTGTCAACGACAGGTGTATCTTGCCCTCCTTGCCACGAGGAATTTCGTGGGCATGGGCTGACTATAGGTCAGTCAAGTGAACATTAGTTAACAACAACAAGAAATCCCCAAAGAAAACGTTGCATGCGAACAAATCTGGAGATCTTACAGGCTACGAGATGGTGCCATGTTTGGATATGAGTCCGTCCGAAAAAAGTTCTCTTAAAGCAACTACAGACACACGAGTAGTATGACTTCATGTTCCCATCCTGCGGGGAAAATTGAATAATATCTGGAAACCTAGAAAGCTGTTGCATGAAAAAATGTTCTTACCATGCGTATGTGTGTGCTGTCTACATTAACAGTTGTGACTTTCCTCCATCGTCTTATAAAAAAGGTGGTTCTGTAATGCCTGATGATGGAAAGACCACACACCACACCGTAACTTTTGGACTGTGTTAAAGCTTTTAGTGCAACTCACCTGGGTTCTCATCATTCCAATATAACGAATTTACAGATCGCGTATTCGAGAGGTCCAGGTACGTGTCCCGCCGAGGGCATAGCTCATTTTTCATATCTCCCTGTTTCAAAATTACCTAATGTCTCTACAGTGGCACCCGAACTAAAAAGGATGGTAGGTGATGATTCTTAACCACCAGGATTTGGCCGGTGTCGCCCATTAATCCCCATTAAAAGGGGGAGTATATAAGGTATTTTCTGCCTCCTTTCTGCATGCCTTCGTGGTGTAACGACAGCACACTCGGTTCGTATTCGAGAGGTCCGAGTCCCGGCGAGGACATAGCTAATTTTTCATATTTCAAAATTACCTTATATCTCTACAGGTGTCTTGACGCCCATTAGCAGTCGTGGTATTGTTTCAGAAGAGGTTAATAACTGTAGTGCGCGCAGTCAGGACTTCGAATTTGAATCGTATTGAAATGAAATATATTTGAATCGTATGAGAAAACATATTGGACGATTGCTGCATGTTTAACAAATAGCATTAAATGTCAGACAACGATCCAAACCTTCCACCACCCCTTATGAGGAGAAAATTAATTATTGGACTAAAATTTCCCACTTCGTTGGTGGACTCTGCAAAATGAAGATTTGCAATCGAACTTTAAATACTATATGGATTTATCTCTTACCTAATATTTAGGTCCTAGCCGCCTAAAATAGTACTTATAAAAAGAAAAAATGTATATTGGTTTTAGTGAATCCAATCAGTGTCATTACAAAAAAAAGTTTTTAATATTTTAATTAGATATTTGATGAATTAAATACATTTGTATCTGAAACAAGCAAATTAAAAAGTAAAAAATATGCTTGATAAATTGTTAGTTGCTTTTTAATGACTTAAGCTGATATTCAAAAACAGACAAATTTAAATTTTAAAATCAAATTTACTATGCTTCGATAAATGGCAGCGCGCTGTTGTATTGAAGATAAAGGTGTTTTATTTTTGTCAGCAGCAATATATCTCTTTTAAGTAACTGAACTTGTTAATTAATATTTAAAGATAAATACAATGATACTCGCCATTAATCCGCTCCAGATCCTTGGACGTATACCCAACACACTTTTCCAATATGGAAACAAAAGGAAAATCGGTTCATATAAAAGAGAGTCCTCTTCTATCATACCATTGGTTAATACTAGAATACAAATGCAGCGTGTGAAATATACACTGTACATAGCATTGCACATGACACTGGACATGAATGTTTTTTAATTATCCAGATCAAAAGCAATTTTTCAACATGCCCAAAGGTCTTCGATCTTTGTTTGCTAATTTAATTTCGCCCTCTTCACAACGTTAGCCGATTTAATAGCGTTTTTGTTTTCCACAGTTGCCGTCGTTCACGGCATACGATATGCAATACCCAAGTCCCGGATACGCATGCCATCTTCATATTTTAAACAGTCTCTTTTTCCATCTGCGTGGGGATCCTAACAATTATCTTCGTTGCTTGACTCTTCTGAGTAATTTTCCTGAAACTCATTATTAGTTATTTACAATACATTTACGTGAAAAAGCACAAAATCGTTCGAAAATTCCGACTTGAAATGCGGTTTCTGTACCGAATAGTAGCAACATGTGTACTGACGCTCATTGGCAGTCCCGGAACAGATAACAAGTGCAATGGGGCGTAGTCGGCACTCTCCAAATTTAAATCGTATTCCAAACAAATATCATATGCCAAACCTGCTTCGAAAAAGTAGGTATACAAAGTCGGACGTGTACCGAGGTACAGCTGTAACTTTCATTTTATGGAGGGGCAAAACACTGGCACCATCAAGAGAAAACTGTTCAATTTTGAACGGTGGCAACACACTGCTTTTAAATCGCGGAGTTTGTTAATCAAATATTCATTAAATTGATACAAATTACGATATATGTAAGTAAAAAACAAGACTTCCAGATTCACAATGGGGGCTTCGAGATGTACGTGTTACGGTGGAGGTCTATGTGTATTCAGAATTCGGTAGGTTTTTCAGTACATACATACAGATTCTTCATTATTGAATGTTAAAAATTAGTTAACATATTGATAAAGATAGATGAAAGAACGACGTGAAGAATTTTTTTATAAAATACTAAATCGTAAATAAAATAGCAGCAACAAACATAGAATAAGTCCCACAGAAAGAGAGAGGTAGTTTTCATCATTGTGAATTTATGTACTACAAATATGCGCGGTACGCGTATTTCACAAGTGCACATCACCTTAGCCACTGAGGGAGGAGTTTCGAAAATAGACCAATGAGCGCGCTCGTGTGTGGGAGATAAAGGTGTTTTATTTTTATCAGCAGCAATATATCTTTTTTAAGTAGCTGAACTTGTTAATCAATATCGAAAGATAAATGCAATGATACTCGCCATTAATCCGCTCCAGATCCTTGGTCGTATGCCCAACAAACTTTTCCAATATGAAACAAAAGGAAATTCGGTTCATATAAAATAAAGTCCTCTTATTATTATTATTATTCGTCTATTGCTCTTGTGACGCTAAATCTTCGTGCATGTGAGCGTATGTATACGTTTTAATTTGTATTTGTTTCGTAAATGTATGGCGTAATAGTAGAAAATCTCGTAGTGCTTTCATTTTGTCATTTTAATTAATTTCTGCATTTCACTTTCTCGATTTTATCAAGCATATTTGAATTGATGTTCACGGCATATTATCGCTCTTTACCTCGAGAAATGACTCAA